GACTGAGCCACCCAGCGCCTCCACCATAGGAAGTTTTTAATGCCTTTCCCTGTGTGTGTTGGATATGTGGCCCTATTAGTCTAGTATTATTTTTCCACTTCTGATGAAGACTTGGTACCAAGAGAAATGTTTTCCTACCTAAAGTAAAAACAAAAGCAAGAAAAAAACCGAACCAGTGTAGCAGTGCAGAAAAATGGGCACTGATATCCAATCCCAGTGCCGGGGGTGATAGGAGTGGGTGGGGGCTGCAGCTCCCTGGGTGACCTGGTGCACAGTGGCTTATGAAAAGGAGGCTGCCACTATGCAGCTCCAGCTGCTGCTACCTTGAAGGAATGCCAGGCCTAGATCATCAGACCTGACTTCTTAAGAGATGCTAGAAATTTAGGTTTATGTGGAATCTCCAACTTTTAATATACTGGATTAATTTTTTAAAATCCACTTCAGGCTACACTCACATTCAGGGCTTCTGGGTTGTCACCTGTGCTCTAAAAGGACAACTGAAAGATGAGAAGTGAAATGTGCCATTCATTCTTCCCCTCGAATGCTCGATTTTCCTCTCCAGATGCTGATATCAGCAGCACAGAGAGAGGTGGTTTAGACTTCAGGGTAATCAGGACCTTCAAGTTAAAGGCAATGAGCAGAGTTGTTGTTGTTAACATTGTAGCAGTTTTAAAACAGGTCCCCAGGTTCTCTGGCACTCCTGCCATTGAGAGTTGGAGTCTGTATCCTCTCCCTCTGAATCTGGGTGGGCTCTGTGACCCCTTTGACCAGTTGATCCCAGAAAAAGTGATAGTTAGGTGACTTGACTTCTGGGCTGGGTTAGTGAAGGTCAGGCAGCTTCCGCCTAATTCCTTTGAAATATCTCTTCTTGAATGTTTATTCTTGGAAGGTTCAGCTGTTTGGGCTCCCTCTTAGGATACTCTTGAAATTCAGTTGCCATGCCAAGAGGAGCCCAAGCCACAAGGAGAGGCCATGTGTAGATGCTCAGGTGGATGGTCCCAGCTGAGCTTTTGCCAACCACCAGCCCCTTGCAGGCGCCATCTTGGATGGACATCCAGCCCAGTTGAGCCTCTGGAAGACTCCAGACACAGCCACTATCTGGCTGTGATAGCTTGACAGACCCCAAGTGAGGACCATCCCAATAAGTCCAGTCAGCCCACAGAAACCAGGAGGTTGTAATAATTGTCATTTTAAGCCACCAAGTCGTAGAGTGGTTTGTTGCTCAGGGACAGTCGCTGGAAAAGGCATCCGTTCGGTACAAGCATGTAGGATTAAAATGAGATCCCGCTAGCACTGCAGACTCACAGTGTTCCACTCTTTGGTTGTGTTGTCAGTGCCCCAATTCTCATGGAGCTGGAGGGAGGAGGGAGGCCCTCAGCAGCCCTAAGCCTCAGTGAACTGGGAGGGCGGCCAAGCCAACTGTGAGAGCCCAGCACGGAGCAGCCTCCACGTGAGGCAATTAAAATGTGAAATTTAACCTTTAAGAAAAGAGCCTGACTTTACCTTTGCATCTTGGAGATTTGGGATGCAGAAGACCTGTCAAATCCCTTCCTCTGCCCGGGCCTCATCGCATTTCTGTCTTATGTTTGGACACAGGACTCAGACTGTGTACACACGGGGAACGGGGTCTGGCGCCAAGAACACAGAGCAGCTCAGCACTGGTGTTCCTCCTCTTAGGGAAAAAATGACAGGGAAAAGAAAGAAAGAAAAATAGACAGGAAAGTTGAAAGGATGGAAGAGAGATGAAAGAAGGAGGGAGGGAAGGAAGGAAGAAGAGGAGAGAAGAAGAAAGTAGAGGAGAAAGGAAGAGAGGGAGGAGGGGAGAGGAAGAGAGGGAAGAGGGGAGGGGGGACTGCAGGGAGGAGGGAAGGGAGGAGGGAAGGGGGAAGGCAAACCACTCGCAAGGTAGAGCTGTGCGTTTTTATTTCCTGCTTTACTGAGTGAGGTACCCCTTCATCAGAAGCAGATGTACCGAATCCCGTCAAAGTCTACCTAGGCAGGAAGCATCGGTTTAATTTACCCAGGTCACGGCAAATATGTTGTCATTCAGCATGTGGAACTGTTTGAACTTACAAGGAGTAACCCAGCAACAGCCATCACCCCACGTGTCCGCTGTGCTCTGATGATACCAACGCAACGGGAATGGAGGCTCATAATTCCACAAGGTGACAAAAAATTGGATTCTGATGTTTCACCTCCACCTGCGAATGAGCAGGGAGGCCAGCTGAATACACAAATTCCTTGGGTCCATGGGCACTGCACCAAAGCCCTGCCTCACTGTGGTCGGGCCCCTGCCCTCCTGACTCAGGCCAGCCCCACAGTGGGCTTTTGTTGGGGAGAGCACACCCCTTCTCACTGCTAATCAGATTTATGGTGACAAGGGCCAGGAGCAAGCAAGGTGCGGGTATGAACTCAACAATTCAGACCCTACTATTCAGAAATTTGGATTTTTTTATTTTTAAAATTTTTATGTATTTGTTTTTTGGTCACTGAGAACCAGACTGATGTTAATCTTGGTGCTATCCTTGAAGAAAGTCACTCAGAGTAATATGACGATAATATGTAATGGTTACTGCATTCCGACTTGCAACAAGGAACTGTCTGGAGTGCTTTACATGGATGTCTCATCTAATCTTCAAAGTAACCCGCGAGGAAGGCCTTATGATCTCCATTTTACAGGTGATGATTTTGAGGAACAGAGAGGTTAAGGCTTGCCCAAGCTCACACAGCTAGAGCGAGCAGTCTTATGCCAGAGTCATGGTCTCAATCACATGTGCAAAGGCAGCTTCCAGCTCAGTCAAGAATTCAGATTGCTTCTAAGAATTCAAAAATCATTTTAACAGTACCCATTTCTGTTCTGTTAAAAAAAAAGGAGATGACCCAGCCGGTGATTCTTATCCATACATTAAGCCAGAGCTGCCCCTTGACCATCTCGTTAGCCTATATTTCATGCCCACGCAATGAATAAAACTTCATTTGGTTCAAAAAGACCCTTGGATTCAGGCTTTCCACCCTTTTAGACCGGTATTCCCATTATTATTCAGTCACTGAGGTTTTTCTCCAAGGCCTTGGAGACTAGACTAATCACAGCTGCGTTCGAGGGGATGGCTGGGGACGAGATGTTTTAAAGCGCCATCTAGATTGGCAATCAGAGGCCAGCCCGTGTCATCAGCTGCTGCCTTCCAGGGCAGCACAGCCATGGGCTGAGAGCCCTCGACTTCCACTTCTGTTGATGGGCACAGTTGGTGGCCTCTGGGGGTTGGCTGGAACCCAGCAGCCAAGGAGAGATTCTTTGAGCTGTAGGCAGTCGATTCATCTCACCGACAAGGAGCCGAAGAAGAATTCAAGAAAGAGCAGAGGAATTTGGGGTCCCCTAGTTGGCACAGAATGGAGCTGTTCTTGGGTGACACAACATTCCTGGGCCTGAGTTTGGGGACCTGTGTGGAGGGAGGAAGGTGGTTGCTCAGCGGCTCCCAGAACAGATGGTGGGGGCCCTCCATGTGAGCAGCCACCCTGCCAGCTGATGCTCAAACATCCTGGCTCTAAACCCTAGCAGGGCAGGCTGGGGCTATCTGAGGCTTTAACCCAATTCCCCAGCCTCCGCGGTGTTCAAAGGCAGAGAGCTGCATTGTTCCCTACAAAAAAAACACAACAACCAAGAAACACTTTCAGACAAGGGGCCAGGAGTGAATTTATGGGCAAGCTGCAAAAGTTTCCCCTCAAACCTCTTGACTTTGGGCAGAAAAAGAAGTCTAGGTTTCCAGAACCATATGGTATCGGGGATCACCCAGTTTGGCCTCTGGTGTTGCCAACTAGATTCTTCTAGGGAAAATTAAAAGTTGCTTTCTTGTGAAAGCTTCTCTTGGTTCCATTATACAATTTTTAAGAAGCCACGCGGCCCAAACAGAACACACCCAAGAACCTTGGCTTTAGTTTGCGACCCTTGGAGAGCCTTTGCCTCTTGTGGAGTTGGGGAAACCAAGTCACAGAGGTAGAGACTGTCATTTCGGGGAGCAGCAGATGGCTTGAAACTACCAGACCTGCTGCAGATCCCCCACCACTGCTTCACCCACCTTCCTGATCCCGGGGGGGCTCCCTTGATCCCCAGGAGTTAGTGTTTGTGGCCCTGTGCCCGAGACTGCTTTCAAAACTGCAAAGGCCTCTTTATGCGAGCTGGAAGTACTGAGGAGTAACATCCCCCGAGAGCAGCCCGAGAGCAGTGACTCTGGGGGTTGGTGTGTAAATGCCCCCACTCCCTGGCCTTGTGTGTGGGGGGGGTGGGGGGGATGAAGAGTAGGCACATGTTCTACAAGTTTCCCGGAGATCCTGCAGGATATTGCAACACAGTTGTCTATGGTGGTGGCTGGATTAATAATGCAGCTGCCCCCTGGCTGGCCTCCCTTTCTTGTCTTACTGCCCCGTGTCTCCACCACGGTTTTCCATTATTTCCCAAAGCAACTAGCTGCGCTGGAATCCCATGTCAGGGTCCACTGGGGGCAGAACAGAAACTCGGCCAGGGTCTGAATGGCCGGGATGCATCCAAAGAAGAGAGTGCCTCTCTGTGGGGTGCCTTCCTACACAAATAGTACAGTTATGGGGGTGAAATTTTTCTCCCTATCTGAGCGAGGTACACCATGACCAGGATGAGAACACTGGGCCTAATTAAGGGTACCTGTCGGTTCCAGGGTGTGGAAAGAGGAAGAAGACAGTAAAGACTGTCTACACCTCTCCACAGCCCAGGGAAAGGCCATGCCTGGGAGAGGAGAGGCTGCTTCAACTGCTCACTCAGAAAAATAGAACATTCCAGCCTCACCCAGTGCAAATAATTACCAGGAACATGTTTCTGAATATCACCTAAATGCAAAAAATGAGCGTGGCGTTTCTATTTAATAATAATTTTATTAAAAGTAAAGTTCAGTGATGTGATGAAGCCGGGGAAATAATCTTCCCATTTCTCTCTCTCTTTTTTTTCTCCCTCCCCCCCCCACCCCCCACTGCAGGATTGAGAGGCAGCAGCCACTCTGGCACCAGCACCAGCTGGTTGACACCAGCAGTACTAAGACCATCATTTAACTCATTCTTGTCTGTGAGGATGACAAAGGCAGGTCCTAATTGTGAATTTTCCCATGGACGCTTCTGGCTCAAGGAGGTACAGATAAAAATCTATCGAGGGGGTCTTTTTTTTAAATTTTTTTATTTATTTATGATAGAGAGAGAGAGAGAGAGGCAGAGACACAGGCAGAGGGAGAAGCAGGCTCCATGCACCGGGAGCCTGATGTGGGATTCGATCCCGGGTCTCCAGGATCGCGCCCTGGGCCAAAGGCAGGCGCTAAACCGCTGCGCCACCCAGGGATCCCTATCGAGGGGGTCTTAACCTTTGCTGTGCCATGGGCTCCTCTGATGCTGGCAGAAATCTATAGACCTTTTCTCAGAACGATAGCATTAAGTATATAAAATAAAATACAGACAATCACAAAGGAAACCTGTTAGGTTGAAATACAGTTATAAAACTATATTTAAAAAACCCAGATATGTGATAAATGCACATTTATTAAGGCATTAAATATGATCTAGTGGCGGGTCTAATAACTACCATAATTTCCAAGTAGTGCCAAGCATATTTCAAGATACCTGTAACAACCATAATGTGATATAAAAATATCTATGATTTCTCTTGGTGATAAACTCACAGATGCTACTAATGTAGCTATGGACTTGCTAAATTGCAAGCAGAGTTCAGTGAAAATAAATACGTGATTTTTTTTCCCAATCCAAATGGATGGACCCCCCTTAGGGGTCCAATGACCCAATATTAACTCCCCCTCCCAGATACGAGGCAGAGAGTGGAAAAAGCCATTCCTTTTCTGCCCTTCTAGTTTCTAGGGGAGATGTCAGGCATTCTTTGTGGAAAATTGCTCAATTGTCCCTGCAGCCACATTCTTAGCAGCCATTTATTGAACACCTACTGTGTTCCAGGCACTTTATTTACTTAAAAAAAATCTATTTAGGACTCCAGGTACCGGGAGGTGGTTAATCATACTCCCTGGTTCATGGCACATAATGTGTCCCATTCCCTCCCTGCCTCCCCCACTGTCTGCAATCCACACCTTCACTCCTCTCCTGCACACAGGCCTGCCCTCTGTGCACCTGGGATGTGTCCTTATACAGGCACGCCTCCAGGTAAAACGGGCACCACCCTTCTGAGAGTGAGTTTCTAGTTTATGTGACCTGTATCATGCTATACCCCTCGCTCATTTTATTTTTTCTAAGATTTTATTTATTTATTCCAGAGAGTGAGAGACAGAAAGAGAGCAAGTAGGGGGAGGGGCAGAGGGAGCAGGACAAGAAGACCCTCCACTGAGCATGGAGCTACATGAGGGGCTCAATCCCAGGCCCCTGAGATCATGATCTGAGCCAAAATCAAGAGTCGGACACTTAACTGACTGAGCCACCCAGGCGCCCCACCTTATTCATTTTCTTACCTTTTTGCACTCCACACACTGTCATAAAAAGCTACTGCTGCTGCTATGTGTTGATGGAGAGTGCTCCTTCTTTCTGCTGGATGGCATTTCATAATGTGCCTCCGTCTTATTTTTCTTATCTGTTCCCTGAAGGCTGGACACCCAGGTTGTGTCCAACTCTCTTCTGAGTCATCCCCAACAGCAGCTCAACAATGGACGTTTTCATAAAGACGTCCTCCTGGGACCTGTGCATGGGACAGTTCCTCTGGGCTAGGCACCTGGCAGGGAGATCACCAGATCACAGTGCCTGGATCAGATTGCAGAATCAGATTTCTTTGCGAAAGAGCTGCTGGACTTTATACACATGCCAGCTCTGCAGGAGACACCGCTCTTTTCACATCTTCAGCAACACCTGATAGATTCACCTGTCTCATGTTGGACCATGAGGAAGGGTAGAAGAGATCAAGCTCTTTACACACAATAGCGGATATTTTAGTTGCCCCGAGTGCCGGCTTCTCGGAGCACCTCTGCTTTCTGCCCCAGCGGTGACAGATAGGCCTGTGTGAGTTTCAGGCTCACGCTGCAATGGAATCTCATCTCAAACACACAGCATGCATCTCTACGTTTTTTTCTTTTTACCTCAATGCCTTCATAAGGCATGGGGACTTGTTCGGCCTGGAAGCAAAGTCCAGAAATGTGGTGGGAGAGGACTCTACTGAGGGCAAATGCTCAGCTAGACTCATGGAGAATAAAACCCCAGCCTCTTGTGTTCCTGGCAGATAAATCCAGGAGGCATTCTGCATTTCTCAGAGGTCCTGGTGGAATCCAGCCCCCAAATGCCTACATTGAAGACCTCAGTGGTCAGTTCTGATTGTGCCTTTTCTTCCTCCCCTGTCTCCTCTGCCTCAGTCCTGCTCCATGAGCTCACCTCCCAGACAAACTACAAACACCCAATCCAAGACACATGTGTTGTTCCTAATCTCCACAGCACCTCTGTGAGGTAGGCATTCTTCCCATTTTACAGAGAGGAAGTAGGATCAGAAAGAGTCAGTGACTTGGCCAAGGTCACACAGCAGGTGGCTGAATGCCCTGGAATGTGATCCTTCAAATATGCTCTGCCTTTGTGATGTGTGCTTTGGAAGACACCAAGGATATCAGAGCTTGAGGGATAATCTTGCTGGGGAAATAAAGCAATACATGTAAAGCAGCCAGATATGAACATAAGTTCTTTGTTCGTTTATTCCTTCATTCAGCAGGGGCATACTGGACAGCTACAGTGCTTAATATCAGGGATATAGTAGTAAACAAATAAACACAATTAGTACCCTCATGAAGCTTGTATTCTAGCAGGGGATGTAGATAAATAATTAGAATACTAATTGCAGCTTAATTGTGCATTCTTTCTGCTACTTCCCATCAGTCCAGATTGCATCTGGCTATATGGGACAGAGACTAGATTCCAGTGGCCTAAGGACAAAGGCCTTTATCTTTCTTCTATAAGAAGTCTTCAGATAGGGTTGTCTAGGTCTGGTGCATTTGCTCCAGGAAATCATCACGGTTAAAGACTGCTTCTCACTTCTTGTTCTGCCAACCTCACATGGCCACGAGATGGCTACTCCACCTGCTATTATGCTATTATATTATGACCATGTCCCAGGCAGGATGACAGAAGGTGAGCCAAGGACATAAGTCACAAGCATGACTTATGACATAAGTCACAAGCGTTCACAACCTGCCAAGTCTTTCTCCTTAAAACAAAATGAAATGCAACAAAAAACAAAAGGACAACTTTCCTGAGAGTCCTACTTATTACCTTCTACCTACATCTCTTCTTCAGCCATAACTGGGTCCTTTGCCTGTGTATAGCTGCAAGGGAGTCTGGGAGTAGGCGGTTTAATTAGGTACATGACCAGTCCAAAAAAAAATTGGGAATCTATGAGTGACAGTATTATGATAATGTAGCAGATGCCATGAGTACCCTACTGATATCCCCTTAGCATTTACCTCTCCTGTGCATGCCAGCCTGCTTCCCTACCACATGTGCCTGTGTCTCAGCACCTGTGGACTTTCTCTGGCTGCTGTAGTTTATGTGCCCCCTCCTCACAACTGCCCTCCATCAATGGCAGACAGAACTTGGTGGATAAATACCCCAACTCCCTTGCCCCTCAGGTAGAATAACTCTAAGATAAATTTTCTCTATCATCTCCCAGAGTTTCCAAGTGAGATTAGGTTCCAGTTGCTCAAAGTGATAACTGGCTGGATAATGTATCCTTTACTACCTGCCTTTCTTTCCTGGTCTCACTTCTGGTGTTGGTTAACTTTATGTATCAACTTGGCTAGGCCATGGTGTCCAGTTTTTGGTCAAACACTAGTCTAAGTGTTGCAGTGAAGGTGTTTTTTTTAGATGTGCTTACTATTTAAATCAGTGGTCTTTGAGTAAAGCAGAGTGCCCTCCATAGTGTAAGAGGGCAATTAGACCTCATTAATCAGCTGCAGACCTTAATAGAATAAAAACTGACCTCCCCATGTGCAAGAAGGAATTCAACTTCCACACAGCCTTTGGACTTGAGCTGCAACATCAGATCTCCCTTGGACCTCCAGCCGGCCAGCCTGCCCTGCACATTTCAGACTTGCCAGCCTCCATAATCACATGAGTCAATTCTTTAGAATAAATCTCTCTCACTATATACACATATATGCATGTGCACATGCACATGTGTGTGCGCACGTGCGCGCGCGCACACACACACACACACACACACACACTCCCAATTGGTTCTGATTCTCTGGAGATCCCTGATAATATACTTCCTCATTCCCTTACTGATCTTTCCCAAATAAACCACTTACATTCAAATCCCTGTCTTAGGATCTGCTTCTGGAGGGACCCTAAGTCAGGCCATCTACCAACCCATGAACTTGAGGGTCATATCTATTATCAGCGTGGATCATAGGAGAAGAGAATCCACATCAACACTTCAGGTAGTTATTGAAGGCCACAGCTTGGTTCCCAGCAATGGTCTGGACATAAGAACTCACTGCCTCCTCTACCTTAAAGCTTCCCATGAGAACTTTACCATTAATGCAACTCAACAATTGACTTCCAGTTTCTGAATGTCTCCATTTATGTTTTAAAGATAAAGAATCTGGCTTATGTGTTTTTATCATATGTTTGCCCCCTGGGCACATCAGCTCCAGTCAGGAAAGCAGAGTCATGTGGCAAAAACGTGGCTGCTGAGTGTGTTGGAAGCAAACCCTGTGTGTAAGGTGGGCAATCCTCAGAGAACAGGGCCTGGGCAGTCACAATAATAAGTATCTACTACACCAGTGTTGAAGCTTTCTGCCAATTCTAAAACATAGCATTATTGACAATTACAAGTATAAAGAACATGAATGAGGCTATACAAATGGGGTTATTTCTGGATAAATCCACATCCATAGAAATGTGAAAGGACAATTCACTGTGAGGATGAACTTGTTGTCAGCAAAGATGAGATTACTGCAGCTTTCATTCAAGGGAGGAGCCTCCACATATCTGGGCTTCCGGCAGGTGAAGAGGATTCAGCATATGGAAATGAAATGAAAAGCAAAGATGATCTTCCCTCAGCACATGGAGAAGATACTATAAATACATCCGAATTGGGCTATAAGATTAAGACATTTTGTGGGTTTGGGCATCTATGCCTGTACTCTGTTATTATACAATATATCCAGAAATATAGAACCCTTCACACACAAATCATGCAGTAGTGGTCTTTCTCCTCTGTCTTCCGTGGTGTGTTGTCCCCCTTTGAAGATGTCCCTCGTGGTGTGACGTTGTAACTAAG